ACGAAGGGGAGAGGAGACAAAGTCCACACTGCACACAGATCAAGTAGGCAGCGAAATACAACCATGCACAGATGGGGATAGACGCACAATATTTCCTGTCTCTTATACACATCTAGATGTGTATAAGAGACAGGAATGGATGACTACCCTTGCGATGGCTGGGAGCAATTGCGACGTATTGAAGCTCGGTTCATCTCCATGGAAGCTAGGATAGAAGGGGGTCTAGCTACGATCACAGAATCGCTGAAGAAGATGTCTGAACGTATCTCGGCTGTGGAGAAATTGCAAGATGAGAAGAAGAGGGCCTCCTCGTTGGCACCTAGGTACTCGGACGCTGTCCACTGCTCTCCGCTTGATTGGTACACGGTTCATCTGCAGGAAGGTAGTGAAAGTGTGTGGAAGAATCATTTCGAGGGTCGATGGGGTAGGATACTTAGTCAAAAAGCGCGGGACATGCTTGTCGTGTCGTGGTACTCGGATACAAACGTGCATCCCAAGATCTCTCATTCGTCGATGGCTTGGTACTCGATGATGGAGCAAGGGCTGTACGCGTTTCCCGCGCAGGTGTATAACAAGGAGAGAGGGAGGGGGAAGAGCTTCTGCTTGTCGGCGCACGATGTGCGGGTGAGGTACAATCCCGCGTCGGACACGTTCACCATCGATTACGACATCAAGGGGAGAGGAGGAAGAGGAGGCGGGGGGGGAGGGGGAGGGGGAGGTGTGGGGCTATTAGTCGGAAACGGCGGGAACACGGGGGGGAAATGTGGGATAGAAGAGGGGGTCCCTTGGGAGCGAATACGGTCCTCCCCCGTGGATATCGATGACCCGTACAAGGTGTACGTCAGCGACGACCTGCGGCTTGCGCAGCCTGATGATCAGATCGAGATCCAATTAAGGATGAGTAAGGACCTGTCTCTTATACACATCTAGATGTGTATAAGAGACAGCCCATACATAGTTGCTCTCTCTCTCTCTCTCTCTCTCTCTCTCTCTCTCTCTACATTCCCCGATGCGGGCACTCCGTCGCCACGCATCAACACAGAGTTGTCACCCCGCTTGGTTCAAACATGCAAGCCAGGTTCGCCCGTGCGCCACAGTCCGTCGTGGCCCGCACGTCAACCC